GTATATGTACCACATCTTCTTTATCCATTCATCTACTGATGGACCCTTAGGTTGTTTCCATTTCTTGGCTATTGTACATAGTGCTGTGATAAACATAGGGCTGCACCTGTCTTTTTCAAACTGGGCTGCTGTATTCTTAGGGTAAATTCCTAGAAGTGGAATTTCTGGGTCAAATGATATTTCTATCTTGAGTTTTTTGAGGAACCTCCATACTGCTTTCCACAATGGTTGAACTAATTACATACCCACCAGCAGTGTAGGAGGGTTCCCTTTTCTCCACAACCTCGCCAACATTTATTGTTGTTTGTCTTTTGGATGGTGGCAATCCTTACTGGTGTGAGGTGATATCTCATTGTGGTTTTAATTTGCATTTATGTGATGACTAGCAATGTGGAGCATCTTCTCATATGTCTGTTGGCCATCTGAATTTCTTCTTTGAAGAACTGTCTGTTCAGCTGCTCTGCCCATTTTTTAATTGGATTATTTGCTTTTCGTTTGTTGTGTTATATGAGCTCTTTATATAATTTGGATATCAACCCTTTATCGGATCTGTCATTTATAAATGTATTCGCCCATACTGTAGGGTAACTTTTTGTTCTTTTGATGGTGTCCTTTGCTGTACAGAAGCTTTTCAGCTTGATATAGTCCCACTTGCTTTTGTTTCCCTTGCCCGGGGAGATATGTTCATGAAGAAGTCCTCATGTTTATGTCCAAGAGATTTTTGCCAATGTTTTTTTCTAAGACTTTTATAGTTTTACAACTTACATTCAGGTCTTTGATCCATTTCAAATTTACTTTTGTGTATGGGGTTATACAGTGATCCAGTTTCATTCTCTTACATGTAGTTGTCTAATTTTGCCAGCACCCTTTGTTGAAGAGACTGTCATTTCCCCGTTGTATGTCCACGGCTCCTTTATCATATATTAATTGACCATACATGTTTGCGTTAATATCTGGGGTCTCTATTCTGTTCCACTGGTCTGTGGCTCTGTTCTTGTGCCAGTACCAAACTGTCTTGATTACTGTGACTTTGTAGTAGAGCTTGAAGTTGGGGAGCAAGATCCCCCCCCCGACTTTATTCTTCCTTCTCAGGGTTGCTTTGGCTATTCATGGTCTTTGGTGTTTCCATATGAGTTTTTGAACTATTTGTTCCAGTTCATTGAAGAATGTTGGTAATTTGATAGGGATTGCATCAAATCTGTCTATTGCTTTGGGCAGGATGGCCATTTTGACGATAGTAATTCTTCCTAGCCAAGAGCATGGGAAGAGTTTCCATTTGTTAGTGTCCTCTTTAATTTCTCTTAAGAGTGTCTTATAGTTTTCAGGGTATAGGTCTTTCACTTCCCTGGTAAGGTTTATTCCTAAGTATTTTTTCTTTTTGATTAAATTGTGAGTGGAATTGTTTTCTTTATTTCTCTTTCTATTAGTTCATTGTTAGTGTATAGGCAAGCCACATATTTCTGTATGTTAATTTTGTATCCTACAACATTGCTGTATTCCAGTATCAGTTCTAGTAGTTTTGGAGTGGAGTCTTTAGGGCTTTTTTATGTACAATATCATGTCATCTGCAAATAGTGACAGTGTAACTTCTTCTTTATCAATCTGGATTCCTTGTATTTCTTTGTTTTGTCTAATTGCCATGGCTAGGACTTCAAGTACTAAGTTGAATAACAGTGGGGAGAGTGGGCAATCCCTGTCTTGTTCTTATCTCAGAGTAAAAGCTTCCAGCTTTTCACTGTTCAGCATGAAGTTGGCTGTGGGTTTATCATATATGGCCTTTATTATATTGAGGTAACTGGCCCAAATACCAATTTTGTTGAGAGTTTTTATCATGAATGGATGTTGAATTTTGTCGAATGCTTTTTCAGCATCTATGGAGATGATCATGCAGTTTTTGTCCTTTTTTGTTGATGTGGTGGATGATGTTGATGGACTTTCGAATGCTGTACCAAACTTGCATCCCTGGGATGAATCCCACTTGGTCATGGTGTATGATCATTTTGATGTATTTTTGAATTCTGTTTGCTAATATTTTATTGAGTATTTTTGCATCTACATTCATCAGGGATATTGGTCTGTAGTTTTCTTTTTTGGTGGGGTCTTTGCCTGGTTTTGGTATTACGGTGATGTTGGCTTCATAGAATGAGTTTGGGAGTATTCTCTCCTCTTCTACTTTTTCGTAAACTTCAAGGAGAGTGGGTATTATATCTTCTCTGTATGTCTTATAAAATTACGAGGTAAATCCATTTGGCCTGGTGGTTTTGTTCATGGGTAGATTTTTTATTACCACTTCAATTTCATTGCTGTTAGTTAGTTTGTTTAGATTTTGTGTTTCTTCCTTGGTCAGTATTGGAAGGTTGTATTTTTCTAGGAAGTTGTCTATTTCTTCTAGGTTTCCAGCTTCTTAGCATATAGTTTTTCATAGTATTCTCTAATAATTCTTTGTATTTCTGTGGGGTCTGTTGTGATTTTTCCTTTGTCATTTCTGATTCTGTTGATGTGTGTTGATTCTCTATTTCTCTTAATAAGTCTGGCTAGAGGCTTATCTATTTTGTTTATTTTCTCAAAGAACCAGGTCTTAGTTTCATTGATTTTTTTCTATTTTTTCATTGTTCTCAATTTTATTTATTTCTTCCCTGATCTTTATTATGTCCCTCCTGCTGACTTTAGGTCTCATTTGTTCTTCTTTTTCTAATTTCCATAATTGTTACATTAAACTATTCATTTGGGATTGTTCTTCCTTCTTTAAATATACCTGGGGTGCTATATACTTTCCTCTTAAGACTGCTTTCACTGCTTCCCACAGAAGTTGGGGCTTAGTGTTGTTGTCATTTGTTTCCATACATTGCTTGATCTCTATTTTAATTTGTTCATTGACCCATTGATTATTTTGAAGCATGTTGTTAAGCCTCCATGTGTTTGTGAGCCTTTTGCTGTCTTTGTACAATTTATTTCTAATTTTATACCTTTGTGGTCTAAAAAGTTGGTTGGTAGGATTTCAATCTTTTTGAATTCACTGAGGTTCTTTTTGTGGCCTAGTATGTGGTCTACTCTGGAGAATGTTCCATCTGCACTTGAGAAGAATGTGTATCCTGTTGCTTTTGATGTAGGGTTCTGTAGATGTCTATTAGGTCCATTTGTTCTAGTGTGCTGTTCAGTGCTTCTCTGTCCTAACTTATATTTGGTTCGGTGTGCTGAAGTCTCCCAAAATGAATGCATTGCATTCTATTTCCTCCTTTAATTCTTTTAGTATTTGTTTCACATATTCTGGTTCTCCAGTATTGGGTGCATAAATATTTATAATGGTTATATTCTCTTGTTGGACTGATCCCTTTATCATTATGTAATGTACTTGTTTATCTCTTGTTACTTTCTTTGTTTTGAAGTCTATTTTTTCTGATACTAGTACTGCAACACCTGCTTTTTTCTCCGTGTTGTTTGCATGAAATATCTTTTTCTATCCCTTGACTTTTAGTCTGTGCATGTCTTTGGATTTGAGGTGAGTCTCTTGTTAGCAGCATATAGATGGGTCTTGATTTTTATCCATTCTATTACTCTGTGTCTTTTGATTGGTTCATTCAGTCCATTTACATTTAGGGTGAATATTGAATGATATGTACTTATTGCCATTGCAGGCTTTTGGTTCATGGTTACCAAAGGTTCAAAGTTAGCTTCTTTACTATCTTACTGTCTAACTTAACTCACTTACTTTGCTATTATCAACACTGTCTGGTGATTCTTTATTTCTCTCCCTTCTTATTCTTCCTCCTCCATTCTTCATATGTCGTGTGTTTTGTTCTGTGCTCTTTTGTGTTTCCTTTGACTGCTTTTGTGGGTAGTTGATTTTATTTTTTGTCTTTAGTTAGTATTTATTTGGTCTTCTTTCTTTGCTGTGATTTTATTTTCTCTGGTGACATCTGTTTAGCCTTAGAAGTGCTCCCATCTAGAACAGTCTCTCTAATATATCCTGTAGAGTTGGTTTGTGGGAGGCAAATTCCCTCAACTTTTGCTTGCCTTATAATTGTTTAATCCCACCTTTATATTAAAATCATAATTATTTTATTCTGGATACAGTATTCTTTGTTCAAGTCCCTTCTGTTTTATTGCATTGAATATATCATGCCATTCTCTTCTGGCCTTTAAAGTTTCTGTTGAGAAATATGATGATAGCCTGATAGGTTTTCCTTTATAGGTGACCATTTTCCTCTCTCTAGCTGCCTTTAATACCCTGTCCTTGTCCTTGATCTTTGCCATTATAAGTATTATGTGTCTTGGTGTGTCCTCCTTGGGTCCCTTCTGTTGGGAGTTCTGTGTGCTTCTGTGGTCTGAGCAACTATTTCCTTCCCCAGTTTGGAAAAGTTTTCAGCAACTATTTCTTCAAAGACACTTTCTATCCCTGTTTCTCTCTCTTCTTCTTCTGGTACCCCTATAATGCTAATATTATTACTTTTGGATTGGTCACACAGCTCTCATAATATTCTTTCATACCTGGAGATCCTTTTATCTCTCTCTTCATCACTTTCTCTGCATTCTTGTTCTCTGATTTCTATTCTATTATCGGCCTCTTGCACCTCATCCAGTCTGCTCTTAAGTCCTTCCAGAGATTGTTTCATTTCTGTAATCACTGTCCAGACTTCATCCCTTAGCTTTTGCATATTTCTTTGACGATCCATCAGAATGGTTATGACCTTTATTTTGAATTCTTTTTCAGGGAGATTGGTTAGGTCTATGTCCCCCAGTCCTCTCTCAGGGGTTGTCTGGACTATTTTGGGCCGTACTAAATTCTTCTCACTTTTCATGGTGATAGACCTAGCTGTAGGCCAGTTGTGCATGTGTGAGCTGGGAGAACAAAGTCCTTTCCTGCTTGCTGCTCACCTTGCCCTTCTCTGCTACCTGTGTCAGTTACCTGCACTCCTGGAGCAGCTTCCGTGTTAATCCCTAACCTGCTGTGGGCTGGTTCCCCACCAGAGTCATGCAGAGCCCTGCAAGGAGTGGCAGGCATGCCAGGTGCACTTTTCCATGAAAACGGTGCCCCTGCCATGCAGCTGTGTGCCAACAGCAGCCTTTGGGTCTGGCCCAGGTGGCTGTGTGCCAGGCTGAGCAGCTGCTGGCAGCACTGCTGCCCCTGGGTCACTCCTCCACCACCGTCTCCTGCAGGCGGCTCCTGGGCCCCTCCAGCACCACCGGAAACTCATGTGGGCCGCTTCCATGCCGCTCAGTTGCTGCTGCTGTGGACTTGCATGAGCTGCTCCCGGTCCCCTCTGTTGCTGCCGCTGTGGGCTCACACAGGCCACTCCTGTCCCCCTCCAGCACTGCCACCGCAGGCTCATGTATGCCACTCTGTCACCACTGCCACTCCTGGCCCACGTGGGCTGGCCTTGGGCCACTTGGCCACTGCCAACATGGGCTGCTCCTGGGCCCCTCTGGCCGCACCTCCCCCCGTGCTCACTGCCACTATTGCACTACTGGGTCAGTGTTTTGGTGTCCATGCTGGTTGGGGGAACAACTGGCAGGCTACTTATCGCTGTGAGGGTCTTCAAAGCTGTTCTGCCACCCAGGGGATTAGGTCACCTAGAGTTCCCTGGATTCTCAGGTGCTGGGGTTCATGTGTCAGGACGACTTTGTCCAGCTGTGAGGTCCCTGTCCCTTAAGACTTGCAAAAAGCACTCGCTTTTCTTTTGTCTCAGGGGTGCCGGTTGTGGGGACCTGCTCACAGGTTTTGCTTTTCAGTTTCTCTAATATCCAGCACCCACTGCACCATATGTCTGCGCTCCTGGTGTGGATTTCTAGAGCTGGTTTTTTACTGGTCCTGGGCTTTCACTCCCTCTCTGCTCCGTCTCCTTTCTTCCCGCCAGGGTCTGGGGTAGGGGGGGCATCCTGATCCTGCTGGGCCGTGGCTTATGTCTTACCCTCTTCATGTGATGCTGAATTCTCACAGATGCAGATATAGCCTGGCTGTTTTACTGTATCTACTGGTGTCTCTTTTAGGAATAGTTGTATTTGTTGTATTTTCAAAAATATATGTTTCTTGGAGGAGATTTCTCCTGAACTATTCATGCCACCATCTTGGCTCCTTCCTGTATAATTTTTAAATATACTTCTTATACAATATTTTATTGGTTTTGGTTGTACAACAGAGTCATTCAATAGTTACACACATAGTAAGTGTAGATACCCTGTTACCATACCACAATATTACAATATTATAGGTTATATTCTCTATTTGTACTTCCATTCCTTTGACTAATACATTTTATAATTTGAAGTTTGTACCTCTTTATTCCATTCTCAATTTCTGCCATTCTCCCACCACCTGATTTCACTTAAATGTACAACACAAACCCCACAAAATAATGAACAAATACATTTTATTTAATATTAATAACTGTTAGCAACTAGTAGATATATAACAAAAGAATATTTATTTTTTTATGTGTATAGAAGAATGAATGTTGTCTCTCCTGCGTAGACAAAGTATGTGTTCATAAGAATACATATAGAAATGCTTTTTATGAGTTAGAATTTTAATAATTTTAGTATTAATTTTAACAGATATTTCCCGAATTAGTACAGTTTGATAAATTTAAATAGTCTATAAAATTAAACAAAACAAAACAGAAATAGCCTCATAAGCAGAAAACAGACTGCTGGTTACCATGATAGGCAAGTGAAATAGTTGCAGAAGATAGTCACAGACTTCAATTAATTTAGTCACAGGGATGGAAATACAGCACAGGCAATACAACTAATAATATAGTAATATATTTATGGTTACCTGTGATAACTACACTTACTATGACGAGTATTTCTTAATATATACAATTGTTGGATCACTTTGTTGTTTTCTGAAACCAACATTATATTGTTAATCATCTATATTTCAATACAGTTTTTTAGGAATAAAGGAGGAATAAAATGGTTGCTAGTATCTAAATGTGAATGAAACTAAATACAAATATATTCACATGACACCCAATGCCCACTCTCCTTAAATCAAACATTTCAACATGTATCTATTCAAGGAAATATGAGATCACAAACATTATGGGTGATGGAGGTTCTTGTTCATATCTATTCCTTTAATTTTTAAATTGTGTTTGTATGTACTCAAAAATTCCTCATAATCATAAATGCAAGGCTATCAAAACAACCTGGCTGAAGGTCTCAAAATCCATACTTCTATGGATGGTTTTGTCACATTGAAAACCATATGATTTTTAGTATCAGACATGGATGACAGAGATAGAGGAAGATGATTAGATAATAACATGCAAACTTAATTTTCAGTGGTTCCCCCTACACATTTATTTTGTCTACTGGAATTGTTAATGACATATTTGCTCAGATAAAATGCATAGTATAAGTAATACAAATAATATATAATGATTTATTTTTACAAATGGAATGAAATCATTTTCTACCATCTTTCTTTAATGCAACATTTCTTTGTATCTCGTTTTACTTTCTTTCTTTTTTCCTTCCTTCTGTCTGTCTGTCTTTTGAAACTTGCAGAACTCATTTTGGTTGCCAATCTTTTTAAAATCTTACTTTATATGATGTAGCTTATAAGACTCTTAAACTATTGTATATCTACCTGAGGGCTACTTCCACTTAACTATAATGAAAATGTAGTTTATCTACAATGTTATATTAGTCTCTGTGTCTTACATAGTGTTTTGACAATTCCATACTTTGCTAAATGCTCACCATGATAAGTGTAGATAATATCTGTAGATAGTATCATACAAACATTCCACAATATTTTTACTATATCCCCTGTACTGTACTTTCATCCCAGTGGCTAATTTATTTTATAATTGGAAGCCTGCACCTCTTTACCCCCTTCACTCACTTTGACCATCCTCCCAACCCTCTTCCCCATGTCATATTAAATGGAGGAACTCTGATGTTACTTGTGGGATGATTTTACTCTTTCCTCAATCCACAGCAGATCTGTGTCATGCTTGGGAGGGGAAAAAATGTATTTTCATGATGTTAAAGCTGTGAAATTTAGAAAAGAAAATGACTATACTAACCACAAAGTACTTGAATATCATTATTCAATCAGCAGGTGTGTAGTGAGTGAATTAAAATGATTGAAACAAAAACAATCTAACTTGTCAATTCATCAATTCACAAATTCTCAAATGTCAAAGTTCTGCAGAGCGGTACAATTTCATTTCTCTACATTGTTACACATTCATTTTTTGAAAATATTTTAGAAAGTTTTGAAAAATTTCAAGGTATTTTCTATTACAAGCAAAATTACTGACATGATACACTAAATATTAAGTTCTACACGAAATGCTCTTACTTTAAACCTCTACTTATTAATTTGACTCTTGGTTTTACAAGGATTATTAGAAATAAACCAAAACATTCTCAGAAATATGTAAGTTAGTTCTACATCCGGTTATATAATCAATATGCATTATTTCAAATAATGTACTAAATTTTGTACATTGTTGTCTTAATTTTAAGTAAAACTTCCGTTTTTGGCATAAAGTGTGCAGAGTTTGTTCATTTGGAGAGAAAACTTGTGTTCACATTAACAGCACCCTTCTTTTGAATCAAATGTAATGAAACCTTAGGTGTTTGCTACCTCATTAGAAAGACAAGGGTGATAGTATTCTTAATAATGCATTAAATAAGTTATTTAACCCTCCTTATTAACCCAAGAGAGTGATAGCAAATATAATAGAGACTCAGAGAAATCCTTACAAAGAGTAATTACTCACCTTTGTGAGACTAATTGGTGTAACTGTAATCATATGTGTATATATTAAGAACACATGTTAAAATCAGTTGTTTTTCTTCCTTTTTATAAACAGTCCGACATAAGGAGAATCAGAGCAAGGGATATATGGCAAAGATTATGGTCCTGTTTAAAATTATCCATAAAGTAAGCTCTTGTATGTACATAACTTACTGATTTGTATGTGGTCAAACCTGAATGGAACATATATGAAGCTTTTTTCTTTATTTAATAGTTACTTCAAGGATCTGCTATTGAGAGAAAAAGAGCATTAATTAATGATGCAAAAATAATCACTAATTAGTCTTGGATCATAAGATAAAAATTTTATAATTATTTGTCAATATCACAAATAATTACATATTAAATTGCTTTAAAAATTGGAGGATGTTTTTTTTTAATCTATATTTCTAAAGATGTTCATATTCTTCCTTTATAAAAACTCAGTGGATTGATTGCTTATAATGTAATCAAATGTCTTTATGTTATTATCAATTTGTTATAAATTTAATATCTCTGTTTGATTTGTAACATCTTTCCTGTCTGTTAGGTCTCATGGACTAGTTTTCTAGGGAACGTACATTCAGATCTGTGGGTCAGAAGATTTCATTTGACACGGCAGCATTTTTTAAACAGGATTTTGGATATGTACCTGACTGTGCATGCACAATATTTAGGGCTCTAGTTAGACAATTTCAGGCATTAATTTATACATCAACTATCTGAAATTTTTAATTATTCCCTTTGTCTTACCAATATCATAGTCAATGTTAACTATTTTTGAAATATATGTTTTTATACCATATTAACATCTTTATAACCACCTACTAATTTATCTCAGCTTAAAAAGTCCAGAAATAAGACACCTGTATTGTCTTTTCAGTTTCACAGTACTCACTACTGATATAAAGCATTAAAAAAAAAGTGAAATGGTCTACCCAATAAAAGAAACATCAAAATTCAAACTGAAATCTCATGTATATATTGGATGAATGTTGTAATTTATTTTAAAGTTGATATTATAGACATATTTCCCTTAGGTAGTAAAAATAATAATGAGGACTCTAGAAAGAATACTGTCTTCTTCATAAATTACTACCAACCTAATGGGAAGAATTTATTAGTAATAATAGGCACTTATTTTATATTTAGTCAATTTAATGTGAAAAGAAGCTGAACTCTAGAGGAGTGAAAATTTTGTTTGTTGTAATGTAGGGTTAGATTTATCAAAGGAGGTTCAAGAATTGAATTTCAATATAAAAATAAAGAGTAAAATAATGCTTGTTTTCTGTAATCATCTAAATCATTCTTCCAAATTACGATTATACCATGGACTTATAAAAATTTGCATTTTTCATTGTTAGATAAGTAAACTTTAGTACAATCTTTATGCATTATTACACATGCTTCTACTGTTTAGACTATCCACATGAAAGGTTTTGTTACAATCCTTCAGGCTCAAATTGGGTGCAATTACAAACTTATTTCCACCCATAATTGCTAACTTTTTTTCTACTACAATGATGGGTTAATGTAAAAAAATTATACCTATGAATATTAAGAATAGATACATGCAGATCAAATAATATATGTGCATTTAGTGAGTTCAGGTGAAGGGTATATAGATGTCCGTTATACCATTCCAATTTTCTGTTAATTGTATAAATGTTCAAAATAAAATATTAGGAAAATTTAAACATGAACACATAAAAGA